CCCGTCCCCATTGCTCCCGCTGGCGCTGTACAATAGCTGCCCACTGCTCCTAGTACTAGACTCCTGGTACTAGGATGGGTTAAAAGCAGAGAACACATTTCACTGTGTGTGCTCTGCATGTGTGACCATTAAAGAGGATTTCTTCCCTATTCTAATTATTTAGCACACATTTTGGATTTAATGAGTCTGCAACGAAGAATTTACAATATAGATGTTGCTAAAAGCTAAGTAAGGTATTGTTTTTTTGTGTTGCCTAAAAAGAGTAAACTTTCAAAGAAAAGTCCCAAAAATACTGGTATCTTCCTGAAGAACCCTTCTATATGTAAATTGTAAGACCAGTGGGAGACCAGTGTAAGATCTCTGAGTTATTCAGTCAAGATTATAATTTTCGTGTGAAATGTAACACTTTAACTTGACACTCCAGAGACAAGGACTGCTTCTCTTAAACTGTCCCGACACATCCGACTTACTTTCTCCAAGGGGGAATTCATGAACAGTGGAGGAATACTAATGCAACACGCATACAGTGTGACTAACTCACTAAAATGTAAATCCATCTGGGCAGGGGGGGTAACAAGAACCCAAAACAATACTGTCAATCTCTGATGAGTAATTTCCCATCGTCCCAGGAGCAAAAACCCCTGATATGCATGTGTGTGTAAACAAAGACTGTACCCACACGCTTTTGTGCATATTTCAAAACAAGTAAACATCCTTTTATTCTAAGTATCCCTGTGTGAACTCGACAAAAACAGTCAGCAACTTCTCCCCAACTTCCCTCTGCCAAATCCCCACCGATCGATGCTAAAAGCTTGCAGGATCCCGACATCAACTGCTGCTCTCAAGAGAAGATTAGTTCATGATGAAGGAGAAAACATCCCTCCACTCACACTCTCCTTTCAAAAATACGCAGGCCAAAGACTACCCCTTCCTCTACTCCACATCCCTCCCTGTGGTGCGAAACTCACACTGACTGCAGAGTATCACAGATATGAAAAACTTAAACCAGACAAAGCCTACACTGTTTTTGAAAGTCGTATTTCTTCTCGACTTCGGGGGTAGAAAGAAATCAGTCGTCTTATGAATATTTTAGCATGTGATCTCCGTGGGAGTCGTGGATGGGAGGGAAGTTCGGCGCAACAGTTTTTTCTGAATACAGCGCTTCCACTAAAAAACACATAAACAGATTTGGCTAATTCATTCCAAAGCGCAGACCAAGCCAAAAGAAAGATACGCAACAAAAAAAGTGGGCTTTGGTGCGCATGGCGGTCCAGCCACCCTTCTTCATAAGAACACAAGTCCCAGGGTTCTCGCGTTAAACATGGCAAGCCTCATGAATGTTGAATGGCTATCTTAGCCGTGTTTACACTGACCTGGTTTCTTTGCCCCTTGTCTGCGGAGATGACAGGGGAGAGGAGCTTACACTTTCCTGCAACAATCCTCCGGCATCACATTACTGTACTTACTGTTCGAGTGGCAGAACAGCTTTTAGGATGTTATCGGACCACAATGGGGGAGCCCGCTGTCACCTATCAGCGAATAACATTAACCTCAATGTTTAAGTACAAAAGCGCACCTGGGAATATCTCGCTGCTCGACAGTTGAAGCTTTTTCTACTTTGCAGATCTGATAAGATTGGACACAAAAGGGAAACTTGAGACAGAAAGCAAAAGAAGACTTTGCTAAGTTGCTGGATTTCAGCCACTTTAGCAGAACGGCTGCCACAGAAAAAGAGCTGCTGTCTTTATTCCCCGACAAATCAAAGGTGTTTACAGCCACATGTTTTCTCCGCCATGGTTGATCATCGCTGGCAACTTAGAGAAACGCAAGGCTTGCATACTGTCCTATGACATCTCCATCACTTGAGCAGGGGAGACGAAAGATTTGCCTTTCAATTTTTCATTATTCAGCTTGAACCAGACTATACTGGCGTGACATCAGAGAGAAACTTAGGTACTCATACAGATCAGTACGGAAATAAATTACTCAAGTGTCCCACTTTTCTAGATTGAAAAAAAAAGAAAGAATCTCTCGTCTGGAGCGGTGGATGAATCATCAGCTAATTATCATCTAAATAACAGCAACGCTTCCTGCCTTAAGCTTAGGAAAAAAGATAAGAAACTTTTATAAATTGACTCATATACGCAGTAGAACGGACATCCGGTAATAATACAAAAAGATGGAGAGCAATGCGTAAAATAGACGTAAAGAAAGCCCCCCTAGGTTAAGTGATAGATAGCATATTCTCCTCTTCCCCCCCTCCTTATGAAAAGTCCTCTCCCTGTCTGACTGAAGGGACATTACTAACGCCTGTTTAACTCCTGTTCTAGGTCACCATGAGATAAACACACTTTATTCAGGTTGGCAAGACCCCGGCCATTAGACAGTGGCGGTGGCCTATTCATGAAGTACACTCATGGCCCGGGCCCTGTGATTAATTATAGCACGGGGCAGTGACTCTCAATGGAGACCTCACAGAAGGGGGGAGGACACAGAGAGAAGGAGAGTCCTTGTGGTCGGGACAGCCTGAACGAGGATTCTCTGCCAACATCCTGGGCTCCAAATGGTTAGAGGGTCAGTTCAAAGGGATGATTTCCTTGATTGCTTTTAGTTGTATCTGGCAATGTTTTACAGGCTCAGGTATTATATACAATAGGAGTTGTTTTCTCCGTTTGGAACGCCCAATTCCTGATGCTCTGCTGTCCTTTTCAATGTTGCTGTTGGACTTCTGCACTCGTAACCACATGCCAGCAAAGAACATCAGCAGGAGGCCATAACCAACCAAAAGCTCCTAGTACATCAACAACAACAACGCTCCCTTGCTTCCAAGCATGGCGAGCAATGTGGTT